GTTCCTTTGTTGTTTATCTGTGCCCGATTCTAACTTACAAAATAGATTCAAGAAGGAAAAGAAAGCCCGAGTCATCCTATAACCATTACAGAAACAGAATCAGTTGTTAACAAATCTCCCCATGAAGACAACACCAAACAATGCAAAAAAACTGCTCATATTCAAAGTGCACAATTTGATAAGTTTTTTAAAAATAACCTTTTATTTTAAGGATAGTTTTAGATTTACAGAAAAATTGTGAAGACAGCACAAGAGTCCCCATACGCCCTGCACCCGCTCCCCTTGTTGACGTTTTACATGGGCGTGGTACATTTGATACAGTTAACAAGCCAGTACTGGCACTTCATTATTAACCAAATCTGTACTTTCTTCGGATCTCCTGTTTTCCCTGAGGCCCTGTTTCTGTTCCAGGATCCCACGGGGAGACCGCGGTACGTTTAGTTGTCATCTCCTTAGGCTCCTCTGGGCTGTGGCAGTTTCTCAGAATTTCCTGGGTTTGGATGACCTTGACGATGTGGGAGTTTTCTCGACAGTCGAGTGTTTCACTCACGATTAGACTGGAGTTCTGGCTTTTAGGGAGAAAGACCGCAGAGGCACAGTGCCATTTCCATCACACCGTCTCAAGGCCACATGCTGTCACTCTCAGCATGACTTATCACTGCCGATGGTGACCTGATCAGGGGTTTGTCAGGTTTGTCACCATAAAGTTGTTCCTTTATTCCCCCTTCCACACTGTGCTGTCTGGAAGAAAGTCCCTCTGCACAGCCCACACCCAAGGAGTGGGGAGTTTGCCCACCTCCCATGGGCACAGAATCTATGGAAATCATCTGGATTCTCCTGCGGGAGGTTTTTCTCTTCTCCCTCACTTATTTATGTATTTATCCAGTCATTTATTCATATTAGCGTGGACTTGTTAAATAAAACCGACAGGAGGCCATTGGTTTAGACTGAACCCCTGCCCGACAGACCAGACCACACGGAGTCACTCGTGCTGAAGTTCCCATCACCAAGCGGAAGCTAAACTGTTTACTCGACCTTCCCAGAATCGGGAGAGTGAGAAATGAGAGCCAAATGCCCAGAAAGACCAGCGCGATAAGGAAGTCCTTTCTGCCGTAACCTTTACAAGGAAAGTAACTGCAAAGCGATCAATCTGCTTTTTGTTCTCTGAGCCTGTGTCCTCAGCCCTACCTGTCTATAAAACCAACTCCCCTGCTCAGCACATCATGTTTTATGGAGTGAGGTGTTGCCTGATTCTAGAATCGCAAATAAAAGTCAATGAAGATCTTGCAACTAAATTTGTTTTAATTTGTCTTTTGACAGACTCACGGATATTTATTTTATACTTTGGGTTATAACCCAAGACTACTTAATTTTGTTGCTCAAATTGTTTTGACTTTAGCCATTGGGAGCTCTTGAGTCCTTTGACATCCCCCCTTTCATTGTGGTTTTTGAGCAATTTGGTAAGTTTTGACATAAATGCATGCCTGCAAAACCACCATCACAATCAAGATGGCGAACATATTCCTCAATCCTGAGGATTCCTCCTGCCCCCTGCAGTCCCGCCCTCCAGCTCCCCTTCCCGGCTCTCTGCACGCCAGGCAACCACTGACCTGCTTCTGTCACTGTAGACTAGTTTGCATCACCTATGCGAATGGAACCGAACCGCAAGTACTCTTTGTCGCCTGGCCTCATTTTGCATCTGGACAAGCTGAGGGGGATCGGGGCACCTCCCTGAGTGTTACAGAGGGTGGTTGGCAGGGTAAGCAGGAGTGGCAGAGTGGGGCCGGGGCAGAGGCTCGCAGGAGGCTGCCGAGGCAGGAGCAGAAGACAAGAACGTGGGAAAGAAGGCAGGTTGGGCGGCTGTGCCTGCACTGAAGTGGAGGTCCCTGGGGGACATGCCAGCTGTCCCAGAGGCAGTGGAAACCCAGGCCTGGAGTCAAGATAGGGCTGGCCTGAAGCCACAGGCTGGTGCCTTCAGGACACGTGTGACAGAAACCAGAGGAAGGAAGAGGTGGCAAAGAGTGTGTGTACCAGGCCCAGAGCTGAACCCTGAGGAACGCTTTTTTTTTGAGACAAGATCTTGTTCTGTTACCCAGGCTAGAGTGCAGTGGCGTCATCATAGTGCACTGCAGCCTCCAACTCCTGGGCTCAAGCGATCCTCCTGCATCAGCCTCCCGAGTAGCTGCGGCTACAGGAGGGTGCCACTATGACTGGCTAATCTTTTCTATTTTTGGTAGAGATGGGGTCTTGCTATTGCTCAGGCTGGTCTCAAACTCCTGACCTCAAGCGATCCTCCTGCTGGGGCCTTCCAGAGTGCTGGGACTACAGGCGTGAGCCACCACTCCCAGCTAGGAAGCTAATTTTTTTTCTCATATTTTAAATTTATTTTGCATGGGTAGGGGGTCTGGTGGGGACCAGAAAACCTGCTAGACAAATTCTAAAAGAGCTGTAACACTCAGGAACCTAATTCTTAAGACGCAGGCTGCAGAAGAGGAGGGGGGAAGGAAACCGGCAAGTGTGTCCAGAGAGGCTGAAGGAAAACCAGGAGCAGTGAGGTCACAGAACCACGGAGGGGCATGTGTCCACGAGACTGGCCACTGGGTCGGACAACAAGAGCGGGTCACTGAAATTATGGCCCAGAATGGGGCTCGTGGGCTGGCAGGATCCAGCTTCTGCCTAGACAGAGGCTCAATTCTCTCCTGCATGAGAACGCTGGGTCCTGCCTAGCTGTACCAGCTGTCGGGCAACAGGGAAGAGCACAGCTGTCTGGGTCCGTACCTGCTGCTGTAACCAAATACCACAGACAGGGCAATTTACAAACAACAGAAACCTATTGCTCATAGTTCTGGAAGCTGGGAAGTTCAAGATCAAGGTGTCCAAAGGTTCAGTGCCTGGGGAGGGCCTGTTCCTCATAGATGGCGCCTTCTAGGTGTCTTCACATGGTGGAAGAGATGGAAGGGCAAAAATGGCATAGCTAGTCCCTTTGGCCCTTGTATAACAGTACTAACCCCATTCGTGAGGGCAGAGCCCTCAGGACTTGATCACCTCCTAAAGGGCCCACCTCTTAATACTACCACACCGAGTCTTAGGTTCCAACATATGAATTTTGGGGAGACACATACATTCAAACCATCGCAGCTGCCAGCCTGGGCTGGGGCATTCTGTCCCTTCTCCAGGCCATGGTGGGGAAGGCTGTGCCCACTTGCTCAGCCCTGGGATAAGGGCTGGGGGAGGAAGGGGACAGAGAGGAGGGGTGGCACAGGGACAGGGCTGGGGTAGAGAATGGGGTTAGGACCAATCAGAGATAGGCTGAAACTGAGAGACAGGCAGGAAAAGAGGCCTCACAGCCCAGGCTGGGTTCCGTGCCACCCCCACCCCACTGGCCTCTGAGATTTGCTCAGTCTTTGTCCTAGAGCTCCAGCCAGCTCAGCCACAGCTGGTTGCTCAGCACTGAGGGGCCCTGGCCATTCAGCAGGGCTGTGCTCAGTGCTGCCCACAGACTAGAGGTCTCTGGCTAGAGGGAATTAAGGAAGAAGCAGTGTAGGGACCAAGGGCAGTGAGGCAGAATGAACACTGGACAGTAAGCTAAGAGTTGTCTTGGCCAGGACAGAGAAAAAGAACTTTGCCAAGTATTTTGGCAGAGGGGCTGGTCATTGGGCTTCCTTTGTAGATTTGGCAAAGGATGAATCACCCTATGCTAGGATGGAGCAGCGTCCAGGTGGGCCCTCCCAGGCTCGAGTCTCACCAGCTTCCAGCCTCTTCCCAAGCGTTTCTCATTTAATCCTGACACATCCCAATGCAGGAGACACTAATCATTATTGCTATTTTATAGATGGGGAAACTGAGGCTAGAGAAGGCGAGAAGGGAGCTGAGGGTTCTCTCTCCACACTCCAGCGCTGCACTCTTAAGCACGCAAGAGTCAGCTCTGAAAACAGGTCACATCTGTAAAACGGGGCTGGCTCCCACAACTCTCCACTCACAAGTTTCCAGGGACCCGCTCGCAGGTGCTAGCCCTGCATCCGAGACAGCACCTGCAACTTGGGATCCAGGAGGGGCGGCTGGGGGAGGACACTTCAGTCCCTTCCAAGCCCCCAAGCCGGTCCAACTCCCCTTCCCAGGAGGGCAACTCTGGAAAAGCAAAAGTCACTGCAGCAGTCCCCTTGGGGCACCTGCTTCCCAGAAGCCGTCATCCTCGCCTTCCGCTCCCGCCTCTACTAGCATGCTCAGGTCTGGGTTGAGGCCAGACATAACGGGCTCCGGCGCCACAAGGGCCTAGCGGAAGGTGGAGGAGGTGGATGGAACTTGGGGCCAGCAGGGCAGCAGGCGGCGGACGAGCACAGCCCGGCAGTAGGAGCTCCGCCCCCGCCCTGAGCTCCGCCCCCGCTCTCAACTCTCCGCCCCGCCGTGAGCTCCGCCCACTCCCTCTCCGCGAGCCCCGCCCCTCTCTGGCGCTGGGCGGGGCCGTCCCGGGGCTGCCCGCGGAGAAGCCCAGGCGGTGGAGACCCGGGCGCTTAGCCAGAGCCAGCGTGCCCGGCAGAGGGGGAGGGCAGCCTGGCACCCTACTCTGCCCATCCTGTCCCTGGGGTCCCCTGGGTCACCGAGTCGATAGCTCCGCGTGAGCGAAATCTGAGACACGTAGTTTCCAAGGCCCCCTCTGGGTTCGGGAAAATTTTATGGTTCGAGTCACAGAGGAAGGGTACAGTGGAGCGGGAGGGCAGAAAGAGCCGGCGTCGCTGCCGCAGCCCCCGGAGACGGGGCCGGGCCTTCAGTGACCGGAAGCGGGGGCCCGGACGCTCCGAAAAGCTTAATTTCTTTCGAATGGGTGCATGAAGCAGGAATGGCTGAGCACGTCTCACAGACAGCCACATCGCTCAGAGGGCGGCCAGCACGCGGGCACTCCCCGCTCGGCCCGGTCACCGCCAAGCCCCGTGCACAGACACCTTCAGAGGCGGAGGCGTGAACGACCCCTCAGCGTCCCTCGGTTGCTTCTGCGGCCCTGACGGGTGTTTGGCACCTGGGAGCCGGGCACGCGCGCCCAGTCCCGAGAAGCTGCCGGTCCCCCTCGGCGTCGCTGTCACCAGGGCAACCGCCAAGCTTCAGGGACCTGGCCCTTTAAGGCGCGCCGGAGCCTCGGTCGTCTTCGTTTTGCGCGCCCGCCCGCGGTGCCGGAGGAGCGAACATGGCCCTGGCGGTATGGGGGCTGTGGCCAGGCCGGTGCATCCTGGCCTGGAGGCTGGGCGGCTGCCCCAGGCCACTGCTCCTTGCGCAGAGCCGGGCTGGCTTCGCGGGGGCGGCGGGCGGCCGGGGCCCCGCCGCCGCCGCCGCCCGCAAGGGGAGCCCGCGGCTGCTGGGGGCGGCGGCCCTGGCCCTTGGGGGCGCTCTGGGACTGTACCACACGGCGCGGTGGCACCTGCGCGCCCAGGACCTCCGCGCAGAGCACTCAGCCGCGCAGGTAAGGCCTGGCAAGGGCCGTGGTTAGGGCCGCTGGGTCAGCGCCACGCTGGGGACTACCGGGACCCCGCGGGGTGAGGAGTCGCCTCCTCTGCTCGATAGTGACCTTGGGCAAGTGACTTGGTCTTAAGTCTTCTGACCCTCAGCGTTCTCTTCTGTAAAATGGGGGCGCTGTGGATACCTGCTACCTAGAATCATTCTATTTCTCATAAAATCGTTTTTCTGTCGTTTTAAGGAGGCTTTTTTGGTTAAGAGATTTGGAGATCACAGAAAAGAGAAAACCTCTTTCACAGGTTATGACTTTCCAAACATTTTGTCTTTCTCCCACTGCCCCCCAATCCTAGGGACGTATATTTAATTAGCAGCAGCAGCAGCAGTAGTACTTTTAGGGAATGATGACCCTTAGACTCCAGGCCCTGAAACAGGGAGGGGCAGGGAGGTGTCCCTTCACCCCCCAGGTGGCTCACCTGCCCTTGAGGCACGTTATACCCTGCACTCTCGCAGCCCTTCTCTGGCCTGGCCCCCACCACTCACAGATGCCCCATTCCCGGACCCAGGGGAACCGGGTGGTGAGAGGGGAGTGGAGTAACCTGTATCCCCTGCCCCTGCCCACCTCCACGGTCCCGCCCGTTTCCCCCCTGAACATTGAGGGAAGTGATCACACTGCGGCTTTCAGACAAGAACAAGCAGCAGGATCCTGTGGGGCTTTCCTGCACCCAGATACAACCCTCCCTTTGGAGATGTGAGCTGGACCCCACCCTGGCAGACACTGGCCTGGGTGGAAGCCCAGCTGTGCCCCTCACCCAGAGCTCCTTGGGGTTGGAGGCGTGGAAGGAGCCGCCAAGCTGGAACAGTTGTTCTGCATGTGGGGCATGCACACCCTGGGCTATTTGGTGTCCCCTTGGGACTGGAGGGAGCAGAGAGGTGTCTGTCCAGTGTTAGAGACTGGACAATTCCTCCTGCACAGACCTTCAGCACATGCTGGGCCTCCTGCCTGAGGAGCGTGCTAGCTTGGGGCTTGAACCTGGCTGCCCACTCCATGAGCCCTTCCCTACCTCCCATTCCTCCCGATTTTCTCAGGGTCCTCTCGGAAGGCTCCCTGAGAAGAACGTTTGCCTGGAGGCAGCGACTGGGCCCGAGGCACTGGGCTTCAAAAGTCGCCTCCCTTTGCTGCCTGCAGCTCTCCCTGTCCAGCCGCCTGCAGCTGACCCTGTACCAGTACAAGACGTGTCCCTTCTGCAGCAAAGTCCGCGCCTTCCTGGACTTCCATGCCCTGCCCTACCAGGTGGTGGAGGTGAACCCTGTGCGCAGGGCTGAGATCAAGTTCTCCTCCTACAGGAAGGTGCCCATCCTGATGGCCCAGGAAGGAGAAAGCTTGGTGAGCCTCGGGTGAACCAACCTCGCTCCTGTCCTGGGTTGTCCCTGAGCGTCCCCAAGCCTGGCCCTGCTTTTCAGCCCTGGAAGGAGCTGGGGACCCCTAGGCCTCCGCTGAGGACTGTGAGGGGAAAGTGGCTGGTGTACCGCAGATGCCCGATAGATGCAGGCCCCTCCCTCCCTGCACCAGCACCAACTGGACCCAGGGGAGGCAGCACCGCAGAGCCCAACAACTCGGGTTCTGAAGTCAGGGTGGTCTGGGGTCAAGGGGTGACTCACCCGTGCTAGCTGTGTGACTTGGGGCAAGTCACTTAGCCTCTCTGGGCTTTCTTCATTAGTCCACAGCGGACCATACTCTGGGTTGCAGAGGCAGCAGACTTGAAGTGCCTGGCACAGCGCTTGGTACCGAGTGTGTAGCGCCTGGAGCCTACCCTGCCCGTTAGTGCGTGGGGGGTCAGGTGGGCGAGCGGGCTGGGGCCTGGACCCCAGGCCTCCCCGCACCTTCCTCGCCATTAGCCGTGCCTGGGTCTCCTTCACTCAGGCGTTGGTTTGGGGGTGGCCCCAGAGACGGATAAGCAATGCCCAGACGCCAGCGCCCAGCTGCCTCCGAACGTCTGGGGCGTTCCTGCCAGCGCCCGTTAGAGCCTCCGACCTAAACCAACCTCTGTTCTTCCAGCAACAACTGAATGACTCCTCCGTCATCATCAGCGCCCTCAAGACCTACCTGGTGTCAGGGTAAGGAGCCCCTCGGAGACCGAGGCAGACATTGTGTTTGGTCCCTTCTGTCTCCAGGGAGGCCTCACCTTGGTCCTGGGTGGGAGCAGTGTGAGGCTGCTGCTTAGTGTCCAGAATGGGCCACGGGCATCCTGCCCTGCGACCCCCCCACTTCCTTGCCTCCCCGCATCTCCCTCCATCAGGGAACTGCTGCTCGCGTCTACCCCAAATCCCTCTTGCTGCAAGAGGGTGGAGAGCCTCGGTGGGTCAGGCTGGGTTGGTCGGCCAAGGTGGACAAGAGGTGGAGGGAGGGGGGTGAGACTCTGGCTCTCTCACGAAGGCAGCCCCTGGAAGAGATCGTCACCTACTACCCACCCATGAAGGCCATGAATGACCAGGGTAAGGAGGTGACTGAGTTCTGCAACAAGTACTGGCTCATGCTAGATGAGAAGGAGGCCCAGCAAATGTACAGTGGAAAGGAGGCGAGGACGTGAGTGGGTCCGGGGTCAGCAGGGTGGGGGTCGGGGCCAGGGTCTGCCCCAGAGGGGGACGAGACGCCATGGCGGGGGCGGCACGGGAGACCGAGGCACGGCTGGATTGAGCGTCAGTAAAGACTTCGCTGCCCAGGCTTCAGCTTCCCACCCGCGCAGTGGGTACGTTCTCGGGAACGCGCCCTGCTCCGAGCACCCCCGCCCACCGTGCCCGTCCTCCCCGTGTGCGCAGGGAGGAGATGAAGTGGCGGCAGTGGGCGGACGACTGGCTGGTGCACCTGATCTCCCCCAACGTGTACCGCACGCCCGCCGAGGCCCTGGCCTCCTTCGACTACATCGTCCGCGAGGGCAAGTTCGGGGCCGTGGAAGGTGCCGTGGCTAAGTACATGGGCGCGGCTGCCATGTACTTCATCAGCAAGCGACTGAAGAGCAGGTGACGGTGCACTCGTGAGTGAGTGGGTGCCCGCGCGCGCCCGTGGCCTGCTGGCCCGAGCCCCAAATGACGAGCTGTGCCGAGGAGCTCAGTGGGAGACTGAGGCCCAGAGAAGGCTAGAAAATCCTTACGGCGCATGGCCAGCCCAGGACTCGCACCCAGAGCTCCTGGCCGTCCCCGACCCGGGGCAGCAGGGCTGGCCTGGCCTGTGCCCGCTCTGCCTGTCCCTCCCTGGTCGGGTCTCCTGCCCGTCCTGAGCAGTCTCCTCATCGGGGGCAGAGCTCCCTGAGGCCTCTGCAGCTGTGATGCCCTCACCAGGGGGCTGCCCTGGGCCCAGGCCTTCCCGCTGTTTTCGGAGGGGGCCCCGTTTCCCCTGGGCTGGGGGAAGGGGCTCCCCTGACGGGCTTTCCCTGCCCCTGCCCAGGCACCACCTCCGGGAGGACGTGCGCGAGGACCTCTATGAGGCCGCCAACAAGTGGGTGGCAGCCGTGGGCAAGGACCGGCCCTTCATGGGGGGCCAGAAGCCGAACCTCGCGGATCTGGTGAGCGTGCCGAGGTGGGGACGGTTTGTGAGGGAAATCCCGGCAGTGCCCACGTCTCGCCAGAGGACTTGCCCATCTGTCGTCGGGGTAGAAACCCACTTGGAGTGGCTTAGGGGAAAAACCAGCTTCAGAGTTGTCTAGGTTCACATAAGTGACAAGTTCAGGAAAAGCGTCCACGCAGGCCGGGCTGGATCCAGAAGTCACGGCGGCATGGCCAGGGCCCCTGTTCTCGCAGTTGGCTTCAGCCTCAAGCAGGCCTTGCCCGGCCCGGGGCTCCAGGCTTCCCCTGGGACGCCTCTCACTGGTCTGGCTTCACTTCCCATCTTGCAGCTGTGGCCTGGGTGGCGTGGGTCTTGGAACTGGCTGGTGGGGTCTCTTCTCCCCGTGTCAGGGCATTTTCCCCAGGGAAAGGCCCGCAAAACCTGCAGCCACCCACATGCTTCCTCAAAGCCCCACATGCAAAGTTGGCCCTTCAGTGGGTCACAAGCCCTGAGAGAGGAGGACACAGGCCCCCGGGCACACAGCTGGCAGAGGACAGGGCAGGGCCGGATGCCCCTCTGTGGCCTCAGTGACACATTCCCATCACCACGCCAGGCGGTGTACGGCGTCCTGCGAGTGATGGAGGGCCTGGAGGCCTTCAACGACCTAATGCGGCACACGCGCATTCAGCCCTGGTACCTGCGGGTGGAGAAGGCCATCGCGGAGGCCCACCCAGTGCACTGAGCGTCCCGGCCTGCAGGAGGGGGAAGGTGGCAGGGGAGACTGACTGGGGACCAGGGCCAGCACCTGGCGATGCTGCGTGTGTGTGTGTCCGGGGTCATCCTGCCTCTTGGCCACCCCACCACCCCGCACTCACGTCTGACACTGAGCGCCTGCTAGGCCTTGGGGTGCTGGGGACAGGGCCCAGGCTCAGTTTCCATTCACGAGGGTCAGGAGGGACCACCCCCCCAGCCCTGCCCAGCTCCCATGGTGACTCCCTCCCTGTCTGGGGCCTCCCCGCCCTCCAGCCCTTGCCCTGCGGCTCTCAGTCGCTGTACCCTGTGGGTGGGGGTCAGACTGCACTCCTCCCCTTGACAGGGCAGCAGGACGGTTTGTTTTGGGGAGACCTGGCTCTCCCTGCTTCCAGCTCTTCCCAGGTGCCCCCTGGGGGTGGGTCATGTTTGCAATAAAGAAACGGTTTGCTGCTCTCGTGGTAGGTGCTGTTATGTGTGGCCAAGTGCCGCGTGGGGACATCGGCCAAGGAGGCTCCAGGGTGCAGCCGCGCCAGCCCTGTGCTCACTGCTGTCAGCCTGGGGCTTCTGCCACACCAGCCCCAGGACACCATGGTGGGCACAGACGGCTGGGGGGCGGGTCCAGGTCTCCCCCTCCCCCTTCGTGGAACTCTGAGCAATGATGCCCCTCTCCGAGCCTTGGCTTCCTCGTCTGTCCGGTGGGCGTGCCATAGTCTCACCTCTTGGGAAAGTCGTGAGGGTCCAATGACAAGACGCAGGCGGGGTGCACAGACGATGTCCAGGGCGCCGGGCCGTCCAGCCCCGGCTCTGCAGACCAGAGCACGCTGCAGAGCGCGCGGCGCCCTCGCTCCCCTGGTTCCTCTGAGAGGCCAGGCAGGTGGGCAGTGAGCCGAATGCCAGCCGCTGGGCCCTTGCAATTGGGGGGTGACTGGGCAGCCCCCCTCTCAGGCAACCCCCATCTCGAGAAGGTTTTAAAATTTTATTTTCTTTATTGTTTTAAAAACAAAAATAACTCACGTTTCCCGTAATAACTAACATTCAAGTAAAGTAGAAGCGTGTGCCGAGCACCCTGGGGACAGACAGTGTGATGTCTGGAAGCAGATGGCTGTGGGGTCTGCGGTCTGCCACCTGCTTTGTTCTCGGTCCCATCCCGGGCATCTCACCTTGTCAGCACCTGTCGCACCGGCTTGTTCTGGCGGCTGCAGAGGGCAGCGCTGCCCAGACCCACCGCAGACCACTGGCCAGCGCCTGTGCGCCGTCCGGGAGCGCTGAGCTCAGGCACACGGCCGCAGGAGCGAGAGCCGGTCTGAGGCTGTGGAAGCCACCTCTGAGGGGCCAACGGGTGTCCAGAAGGCCGCCCCACTTCACTGGTCAGGTCTTAAGTCCTGGGGGTCTTTGCTCCAGGGACCCAGGGTGGCTCGTGGACCCCAGAACCTCCCTCAGTAGGACAGGAACTAGGCCAGGAATGCCATGGAGCACCGAGGGAGGGCCCTCCCCTAATGCCTCCGTCCCTCGGTCCCTGTATCCCTCCACCTCTCCATCCCTGTATCTCTCCATTTCTCCCTCCTTCCATCCCTCTGTCCCTCCATCCCTGCAGCCCACCATCCCTGTACCCCACTATCCCTGTACCCCTCCGTCCCTGTACCCCACTGTCCCTGTATCCTCTGTCCCTGTACCCTCCATCCCTGTACCCCTCCATCCCTGTACCCTCCGTCCCTGTACCCCTTCATCCCTGTACCCCACTATCCCTGTACCCTTCCGTCCCTGTACCCCACTATCCCTGTACCCTCCGTCCCTGTACCCTCCATCCCTGTACCCTCCGTCCTTGTACCCTCCATCCCTGTACCCCTTCATCCCTGTACCCCATTATCCCTATACCCCTCCATCCCTGTACCCCACTATCCCTGTACCCTTCCGTCCCTGTACCCTCCGTCCCTGTACCCCACTATCCCTGTACCCCTCCGTCCCTGTACCCCAC